CTAGGCGCCTGGTCGATCGTATGCAAGAACACCACCCCGAATGGCCTGGATAGAAACGGAGTAGCTGTCTGGACAAATGAATATGATAGCATTTTCATCCATCAATGAGTTGCAGTCGAACGAGGTTGAAGGTCACTACCATACATTATGGATCTGATCGGGGTACGACCATGGGTGCGCTCGACTTGATAGGGCTCAGATTTACACTCCCATCTGATTGCATAACAAGAATAACGATCGCCTGGCTGTGATGAACCAATATGGATTCGCAGCCAAACTATCCTCACTGCCATGATTAGTTCTTCATTCCTGTACCCTCCTATATGTTGTGGTCTATTCGCTTGGTTGATTAATTACTAAAAACAAGCTCGTTTGCCTTCTGGAATAGGAAATGCGGTGTCGTGTTAGAGGAACTGTGGTCCAGAAAACGAATTGTATTGAAAGAAACAATTGATAGCAGCGCTGTCGACTGAAACAGTGACTTATGATTGGTGGGCGCAAAATTGAGACTAATGNCATGGCTCTCGGTGGAGAATAGAAAACGCGGGAACAATAATACGTATACAATGTCACAGCGACAGGTTTCGGTCAGCGGTAATGAAACAAACGTATGAATTAGTTTTTTTTAATTACACACATTTGTGTGGTGAACAGCAGATGGGACGAACCCCATAGTCACGCAGACCTGCTGCTCCGTCATGGAAACCGGTAACCTAAGCCCCGGACTTGGAATGGCGAGCCACATAAGGCCCTGCTAGGTTAGGCGTGGTATTGAGCCGGACGACAGCAAAGCTGCCTATCGCCAGCGTGTGTAAATTCTAAGGAAGATGGCGGCAACTCATCGCAAGGATGCAGAGTGGCGTACTATATACGGCACAACAGAAAAGGAGTACATTAGCCACTCAAGGATAGGACAGCTTACCGCCACTGCGTACTTATCTTAGTTTAACCGCAGCATATGTGGTAAATACAACACTGAAACTGATACTCATCAGGCTCGACCATGAGTCTTGAGGTGACCACCCCATGTGGTTCCAATAGACGAAAGTGGGTAACATGGAGAGAATGGTACAAAACCCTCCACCAAAGACCACCGAGCTTGGCTAGTTCGGTTATTCGATGACAAGTTATCCCAAACTCCTCCAGAAAAGCTCTCAAATAGCTCCTGCTGGTGGCTCCTACCCACCAAATTCACAAGACAAAACTGTTGCGAATAAAGTCAGAGGCCGATGCCCGTCTTTTTCCATTGGAGTGACTGATCACTGGTAATCAGTCTGGATGAGTTTGGTAAACCATCGATTCCAAATCACTCACACAGCGTGCAACTCCAGACCGGTTCTCAAGTTTCACCTTTGGATTCCTTCACCATGATGCTCATCGGTAAGAGCGTGCACCAAGAGCAAACTGAATGGTTAGCCACATCTGTAAGGTGAATGAACAAAACTTTCAGTCACCAGCACCCAGAAGGTCATGAACTGTCTACTTCAACCCGCTATCTTGTGGGTTAGGCTCTGAAACCAAAGGCTCCGAGCAGGGCCCTTAAGCCCTTTGCACCCACCTCTCAACCGGGTAGATTAACGCCCACAATCTAACCGTGGACTTGCACCCTTATAAATCCCTCCGTTTTTTACTTTCATTCGCTCTTCTCTAAAAATGCACACAGTACCCTTCACACGATTTACTCTTCTCTCGCTGTCCCTTGGTTCCACTGAAAAAGGTTTCTTGTTACATGAAGTTTACCGGTCGAGTCCTCCGCCCTCACTGATGTGTATACAACAACAAACAGGTCTAGTCCTTACGCTCAAGAATCTTTTGACTGTATTGTCTCTCGAAAGTAACCATTCATGATTCGAGTTCAATATTTCGATTAAAGTCACTCACTTCAAGAAAGTGGTTCATTTGCATCCGGTTACGGCGTTCGTACTATCTTGAGCAATAGGTCGGAGGCTGCTTTATTGGATTGGATCACGATAGACAACCGACCATAGGCAATATGACTCAAAGGTTCAAGCAAGCTAGCAGAAATCAAACGAAATGTTTGTTCGTGGTTTCTGCATATTCTCCAACACTGTCCTCCGGATGCAGACAAAGATAGCCTCCACTATCGTCTGCACGACCTTCAACTCCAAGCCTAAGGATATCGTGATCACTCCGGAGACCGTAAGGGCTCGCGGTATCCATCTTTGGTGATCATGGTCTTGATGGTTGTGCAGAAGGATTGTCCTCAGACCACAATTTCTTCCTCTTTGGCATGAACTTCAGTCACCTCTGTTCGACGCGGACATGGGCCCACGTGGATCAGCTATGTATGGTGAGGGTGTGAAAAACGGTTGTTCGTACTGATCTGCCTACGTGGACTAGGACCAAATACTGGTTCCAAGTTATCTGTGCAACTTGGTGGCTGCACAAACAATAGGGGTTGATAGTTCGTCATTGCCAAGCTACGCGACCAAACAGTGCTGATCGACTATGAAAAACCGTAGTGCTAAATAGTACCTAACTATAGAGTATAGAACGATCCCCTGGCAACGCACTCACATGTGGCATAACTCTCATAGGGTTCTCTGCAGATACCTCAAACTTCTTAAGAGGCGTCGGATAGCCTCGTGAGCAGTATCTCTTTCTGAAGTGCGAGCTCACAAAAACCTTCAGAGATGACAGAGAGACAGGAAGGGTGCTATACACGAAAGAGATGGAATCAGCTAACTATAGGAATAACCGATAGCTTTTCCAACTGATCCCAAAGGCCACAGTTCGTGAAACAATTTGCTAAGCAGATTTCACGCCAACATAGTCTTCACCGATGCCTGAATCTTTGGGGAGAGCAATTCGCGTTGAAGTTCAAACAGTCATCAGCGACGGCTACTCCAAGTAGTTATGAAAATGCATCTTAGTTTGTGCCCACAGAAGTTCAGGTATGAGCCACAAGTCCTACAGGTGTCTGGACCGAGTAATCTACCGCAGGCACTTTGGGAATATGCTGGAAAAGTTCTCGCAAGGCAGTGCAACAGACTGCTTCCAAAGGTATGACAGGAAGAAGCTGTACAGCACCTCGGTGAGAATCGGTTATAACACCTATTTTCAGGGACTGTTGTAATGCTTGCTCCAAGCAAAGGAGTGTAAGTCTGATTTCAAACGCGTCGAGATTTTCGGCGTCCGTTTTACCACAGAAGACAATAATACGTACTGCTTTTGGTATTCTTCTAATGACACAGTATCACGAAAAGCGTACCGAGATGTACTGGAAACCGCGTTCAAGACAAAATCCAGAAACAGCTTATTGTTGTTATTCATTTACACATCACATAGTTCAGTATATCTATGCCGGTCGAACGAGTAAGGCAATGCCCAGCGGTGCCGAATCGTCTAAGTGAAACAAAACTCCATTCCAGCGGAGGCCTAAACATCCTACGGGGTAACGCTGAGATAGACAGACGAAAAATCGTAAACTGCGAATTTTTTTCATGGGATTCATTGATTGGCCGGCAATAACAATCAGTACAGAACACAAGGCAAAAAACAAAACACGAAATCCACGAGAGCCTAGATTTGCAGAGGAAGTGACGCGGATACACGGCAGGAAGCGATTGTTTGTTCATTTGTGTGTGTCGTGGGAGAACAAGACATAGGACAGGTTATAAGCGCAAGAGTTGTTGACAGTGGACATTCAAATGCAACCATAGGAAATTTTTGATTGATAAAAGTTGCGAGTGGAACTGTCAACTAGTTGGCGCGCTCCGGTACCGGGGGTAAATTAGGACAGCGAGGTTGATGAGAGCGAAACAGTTTACAGGCTCTTTTGCAGTTCGGTGGCACGATCACTCAAACTGGACGATCCGTCTTTGGACAGTATTTGCAAAATTTGACTCAACTGATCACGACATAAAACGACGAATTCTGAAAAAATGACAGATCGATTGCTGTTAGAAATATCCAAGAAAGCAGGGAGGTTGCTGCCCGAAGACAAGCTAACAGGATCGCGTTAATTTCACATCAAAGAATGAGTTACAAACCAACATAGTGCCCTGTAATCCATGAGCAAATAAAATACTTTGGTGTTTTGAAAGTAGAAAATGAGACATTATAATCACTATCAAAGAGATCCCGAAGAAATTTACGTAGACGGCACTAAATAAATAAACCTGAGAATTCTAACCATCTTAAGTTAACTATGGAAGAAATGATTTGCAACCCCCCAGAACGACAATGGTAGAGCTGTTTGCAACTTCACGAGCCCCAAAGTAGCGATATTTCAGATTTTGCAACCGGTATTCATGCGCTCTCGTTTGGCAGTCTTGGTGCCCATTTAAATAACAAAGTGAAGGAAAGATTTGAGTGCAAAAAAAATTAGGTGGAAACTAAATCGAGAAGGTGCATGAGTGCCACTGTTTATGACACTTGGTATCAAACCGCCGGTTACACTGCTCTCAAGGTCCCATCTTGGAGGCGTAATGCGACCTGTGTCACCGCGTATCCTCGTTAGGGATTTCGTACGTTCGTTCCAGGTCTTAGCTTGCCAACTCTTGGTTATTTCACCCAATGCCTGTCTGGGAAAAGCATCGCATACCGCGTGAATCTATTTGATAAAATACCTGCCCAAATAAACGTAGTCGATGAGAGACTCTGCACATAACTTTAGTCCCGTTTCCCTACCGGATTCATAGAATGCAGCTTAGACAACGGTGTCCGAACAACGACGGTCTTTCCCCCGTTCAAGTAATTACCACATCTCTGCCAGGTAAAGTAGCACTGGTCGTACTGCTGCAATATACACTCAACCTTTCACAGACAGTAGCTGAATGTCGCAACAGCTCCAAAGATGTTGCGCGTTGCCAACCGAGCCTTATGTATGAATGCCACAAATTTGGCAAGCTCAGGAACATTGAGTAATAGGCTGTGGCCAATCAGCGGCAAACCGTGGACTTGACGGTTTTGCGGCCGACCCCCTTTACACACACACGTAGCACATAGTACGCCGAGAGTCTGATGACGATGGTATGACGAAGCGATGGTTACCCATCAGTGAAAAAGCTATGTCATCTCTGCTCCCTTTCCAGTTATTTCACAAGGCGAATAAACCAACTTATTGGTTTTCCTTGAACCATCCTGTTGCAAAGAGATGAAGTATCCTATCACTATTCACCCTCGTATTGGAGAGATCACTCCAGCGAATTACCACGGCGAGGATCAGTTTACGGGTAAAAAAACCTGCAAGATGAACCTAAGAGCAGGGCTTTCTCTCGACGGTGGGATAAGTCTTTGCACTCCATTGGACAGATACCACCCACCCAAGCGGGCAGCCCCCAGTTCAAGTTCTGCTTCTCTCATTAGGTGCAGGAGGCTAAGGGCCTATCCCAAATAGCGGACGGACAAATATATCAGTGAAGAATACAATGAACCGAAACCCAAAGACCTTGCATGACTGGTCTCTAGAAGCTCCTACAGGTGTGTTCAGGTCACGCGTCCGCGTTGGGTCAAGCTTCAATGCTCTACGGGTCAGACTATTGAACCGAAGGCCCCGATCGGAGTTCCTCAACAAAAACCCTATTCGTCAGTGTGGGATACCGCGAATTAGATCATGTCCTGTAGTCTTAGGCACCCATTTGAAAAAACCTCTTTCCCATTCGTCTGATTGTTCTTCTTGATCCCGAATAGTCTCAGATGCCTCCTGTTCACGCCATCCATCGAACATCAAGCAGCATTTTACAAGTAAGGTCAAATAGGTTTTTCAGCCGAAGTTCTTTTCTCACTTAGCCGCACTCAATGTTCGAATCGGTCAAAAAGCGGCCTTAGCTAGATTTCTCAAGTTGCTTCCAGCCCTACATCTGAAATGGAAGTTTCCCCGGAAATAAGTTATATCAAAAGGCCTCAGGCCCAGACGGGCGGTCCCCATCCGGTTTTAAGGATGGAGGGTTAGCCTTAGTCTTGGAGTTGAAGAAACTCCTACGGGAAAGGGAAAATGTTCCAAACGAATGGTGTGAATCAGTCATTTCACCTATTTACAAGATTCTCTTGTGAAAGCTACAGAGGAATTAGTTTCATAAATATTGGCTCTAAACGTCTCTCTGACATCATACTCTGTCGATTGTCTGCAGCACGTGTGAGAATCAGGCTGGTTTTAGATCTGGCCAAGATTATAAAGACCATGCGCCCAATCTTTGTCACATTCTGGAACACGGACAATCCTTTCGTAGACCCACCATTTATATTTTCTCCGACCTGAAAACGGCTTTTGACTCAGTCGACCGCTCTAAACTCGGTGTCACTTCTCTTATAAGGATGTGCCCGAGAAGATTGTTTCAATATTACAATCCCTTTGTACGAATGGCCAAGTTTTATCTTTTGGGCAGTTCCATGTCACCTAACGGACGCATACAGAAGGCTTGGTTGGCATTTACCAACTTGAGAGATCTGTGGCACCGTCGCGACTTCCGACTGTATGTTAAGGATCAGTGCTGCCATACGGCGCAGAGACCTGGCCATAGATTTTTAGGTTCGAAGATCGTTGTCTAAGTCGCACTGCACGAGTCTAGTGGGGGGAACGAATGACCAATGTTGAGTTTAGGCGCAAAATTTGAGGTAATCACGGTCGTCGACCCCTATAGATTACGTTGGTTGGGGCATGCGTTACGCATGTCACCAAATAGGTTGCCACTGCGAACGATATTTTGCCGCGGTAGTCAGTGAATAGAAAAAGCCAAGAGTGGTCAAAATGACACCTAAAATGAGGGTATGAAAACCATGACCAGAAGACTCGATCATACAGGTCACCAAATGCTCCCTGGAAAGGGACTTTGGAATCGGTATGATCAACGCTTAGAGACACTGAGTGATATTGCTGAGTGCCGTTCGTTCATCGTCCCAAGATCTGGTCTCTCCGCGTTGAGGATGCTAATCGACTTTCTGTGTTTGACCACCGATGTCTACGAAGTATTGCTCGTGTCTGGTGGGAACATCAGGTGAGCAATGACGAGGTCCGTCGTCGTGTTTTGGGTGCGGAGAGCCCTTCTCTAACAGAAGTAATAGCTCTACACCGCCTCCGTTGGCTTGGTCACGTATTACGTAAGCCTGCCCATCGACTAACTTTCCGTGCTCACTTTGCACATGTTGGCCAAGGCTGGAAGAAGCGCCGCGGCGGTCAAACCATTACATGGCGTAGGGATATGACGCTGGTCTCAGCTTTGGCTTTGATTGGTGCAGCCCGCCTTCCAGGTTGGGGCTCAAGGGATGAGGATGGTCGTTGATTAGAGACGCCAAGATATATGGCCTAGAATAGAAGTCAGTGGCGCGAATTCCGTACGATCGGCCTGTTGAAGTCCCGTGCCCCATAAAAAAGCGGTAAATTGACACAAAAAGTTTAAGAAGAGTATGGTGAAACAAAAAATTGTTATCCCAGTTATTTACAATTGTCCATTTTAACAGCCTTCTTTTACTTTATTCTGTATCCTTATCCCCCATCCCGTTATTGTTATTACTGTCATGGCGTTAGCACAATATGTGTGTGTGAATGACTGGATAAAATTTCCGTCTCAATTTATTTGAAACCTTAGTCTACTGGGATCCTCCAATTTCTCTTCCAGTCCACTTTTAAGATTTTTTTATCTGCCTCCTACTCTTTCCTCCAAATGAGCAACCAAAAACGACGCACGAAATTGCAGCGTTAATGGATGTACAAAGTGAACTGAAAAAAACAGTACCCGAGGTCACAAATGCACTTCAAACGATCAACTGATTTCCGGTTCAAGTAGAATCACCACCACCGCGATAAAAAAGGCAGAACAATGATGTAGAATCAAAGCTTTGGTCACAGTCATCAACAGAGAAGAGTGGGGGATATGCAAGGATTAGACCACAAAGATGAGAACACTTCCTAATTCACTTTGTTGGTAGAAAGCTTCCCTGTCCTCCGTCTCAATACTTCACCCTTCCCCGTTGGTCCTTATGCGGTTCACTACTCCAGGACCCGGGGGTTAGGTTTCTGGTTTCCACGAATGGACAACAGATTCTTGTGACTATGGAGTGCACCGCATCTTCTGTTAATCACCCAAGGGTGTGCAATGAAAAAAGTAACCTAACGAAAGCAGAAAGGTCTATCAGCCCCCAATAAACGGAAAATGAGATTGTGATTTCAATCAGAACAGGTATTTTACATTTTAACACAATAACTTGCAAGCAGTACTATTAGAAAACTTTCCTCCATTTCTTTTACTTCGGAGAACTTATCCTTGTATGTGGCTGCCATTTTTTTCGACAAGGAAAAACTTAGGAAGGAAGACTTGAGTAATTCCGGCAAGAACTCCTCAGTAGCTCACGTCCAGCGACTTGCGTAAGATTGGAACTCTCAGTCCACTGGAGGTAGCGAGCATGTGTTGTAACTACAGCATCTATCAGATCAGGGACTGACTGGGGATTACCATGGAAATTTCAGTCTCATTTATAAAATTCAATGAAACATTAAGAGACCACCAATCAAAATCTAAAGACTGGGATTACCTATCGACGGCACAACCGAAGGCGATTGGGTCCGATGAAATATGAAAAGAACAGATTGAGTCGGATACTCACTTGGGTGTTGCATAATTGCCACCACACAACCGAATCCATGCTCACGAAGTGATTCCAACTTAGGACTTTCCACAATCCGTTTGAGATGTGTGAGGAAATCATGAAGCCCGAGTTCTAGTAGTACACCGGTGGCTTTCTTATCTCCAGACGGAATCAATTTCGCAATTTGATCAGCGCTTAGTCTGAAATGACACGAGCGTTTGGAGGGAAGCGTTGGCACAGTGAACGACAAATTATCTGGTTACATTCAAGAATCGCCATCAATTAATATATCAGACAGATAAGTCAATACTTTACACCGAGAAACATAAACTCAGAGTTGCACTTGCAATACGAAAAATGACTGCTTTTCACTAATCGTCTCGCAGTATGTCGCCACTGCAATGTTGTTTAGGCTATATCCCAGGCCATATTTTCAACAGAATCAAAACGCAGCAACTTCGCCGAACACTTTCCATGGCGAACTTGGGCAATACAAATCTACTTATACACAAGGAAAGTAACAGAGCAATAAACGTAGCTAATGCACAGAACAAGCAGCATTGGCACCAAGGTATTGTGTGATTATTGGGAGAGAAGCCCACCTTTAGATCACTTAAGATAGAAATGGTGGGCCTATGAAAGGAATATATGAGCCTTACAAATAGTGAAGGATGAAAATATAACCAATGAAGCCATCACCATCAGGAGTCAAATTATCCTGATTTTCACTCGTACAGCAGACAATCGATATTCTTATACCAGTAAGAAGCACCGTCAATGTTAATCAAACAAAATTTATCATGTTTTAAAGCGGTATAATAACAGATTCACGATATGGATTCGCACAGTGAACCCGCGGTCGCGCCAATCACAAGATGGCAACATTATTCAACTGGTTCACGATTCCTCGACGAGCATTAAAGATAATTAAGAATCAGGTAGAGGGTGAAAGTGTATTCAATATCAAGAAGCGCAAATTCATCTAATAAATTTGCTTCTTTTTTCGGCTCATGAGAAAGATAATAGTGATACCTAACTCACGGTATTCGAGTACACGGAACCAACGAGAAGCGGAAGCCATTTCGGAGTTGTCTCGACATCGACGGATGTAATCAACCGTGCGAGTTTACCCGACCCCCAACAACATTGAGGATTAAATCAGAGAGCCCAGACACAGAATACCTGCACACTACTTACCAGACCACCAGGTTCATTTGGTACACACATTGTATGAAACCGATGATTGTGTCCGTCATCAACCCACGAGTACTGAACACTGTCAACTGAAAACGGATTGTTGACCCCATGGACTCTGAGTTTTATGCCACAGCGGTAGTCCTCACACTCGAGTTTGATATGGATGTCAAACAGAGGCAATGAGAATGAGAAGCCATACGTGGCGATAGTTTGTTAGCCCAGAGATGTCCTCGGAGAACTCGGATTCGAATGTGGATGCCGCGGACACAAAACAGTGTGCTTGGAATAGAAAAATTGATCCCTAGATATCCTTGGGCAAAGCAGAGCTGAATGCTACCAGTCGCGTGCCCGGGTTTTGGATAAGGGGATACCTTCAGAGAAGGTTAGCTGTGAATAAGTCATACCATACCACAACAAATAAGCAGTCGCGAACAAACAGCGGTGGCACTACCAGGGGGGTCACCTGGCTCCTGTTTAAAAGCAACATAAGCCCAATGACGGTGTCGTGAACAAGGTCGATAGCCTTAAAAACTAAATTCATTGACTCCCTCACTTCCGAGGAGAGGGATTACCTCCTGCTGCCTTGCAGTTCGCACTTGGTTGTGCAAAGGCTAGAGGGGTGCCCTCAAAATAAAAAAACGCCGAGTAACGCTGGGGACGTCTCTCGTACCAAACTGCCAAGAAATTTCACGATCCTGACAATGTCTAATTGTTTTCAAGGAGCCAACTGCAGTAAAGAAGAAGTAGAATCGATCGTGCAGAGAAAGAGACTGCAAACCACGGTTCATAGTTCAGGACACATCACAATAAGCGAGGAAAAATTTAGTAACAACGGAAGACACGCACGCTTTTCGGTGCGTTTTCCGAGGATATAATTCGAATGGATAAAAACCAAAGGGGCCGAAAGAGGACTCACTTGGCCAAGATCGCGGCCACACTGGCCAGAGTGGCAGCATGGGCACGTTTGGCACTGCGAGTCAAAGCCAAATTGAGCAACGCCATTGTGGATGCAAATCGCGTGACTGACCAATGGAAAACATTGAGAAAGGGAGAATAAGATATGACAGGTGCATGATGACACGATTTCAATGATCTTGGGAACCTACTGCGCAATTGGCACTATGAAATGCATCGTAAAATTTGGCATAGAAATGAAAAAATATGAACACTGTCATCTCCACCCCAATTAAAAGATGCGAAAAAAACAGTAAATGTGTATGCCATACAAAAAATCGAACACTGAGTTCCGGACGTCCATGAATCAAAAGCAAAAACCACTCACAATGCGCCGGGAAATGGATCGGTTACCATTAGTTATAATCGCTCCGTTCGCAAAGCGACACAAATAGCTTAAACATATCCCATTTGTAAGGTATTCAAATATGAAGAAAAGTCTGATTTCAAATAATAAATAAATCAAGGCGACAAAATGCACAATCCGTTCTCACCCAAGTCATCTTTGCGCCACGTAACTGGCCACATCACACCAACAGCTGCGAGACCCAGTTCTTGATCTGAATCGTTCAATTCGGAATTAAACTGTGAAACAGAGAAACAAAGCGAAAAAACCCAAATAGAGATCAACACAGAATTTCGCTGATCTCGGTGAGAAATAACGCAACCAAGCAATTTAATTAAGAATATTGTAAAAAGGGACGGGAATGGGGAGGAATTACGAATTGATGCAGTGTTTGCCTTTGATATTGCTAAGTAAAAGGACTCGGTTCCAAAAACTAAAGGACGAGTCAGTTGGTTTGCTGTTTGAATACAGAATAACCGGAAGAACTTATTAACCAAGAACATGAGTAGTTTTCCTATGCAGTAGGCACCAGGAACCCGAAAAATAAGGTAATCAACAAACGAATAGAGTACGTGGATGAGTAGAATAATCACCTGTGAAATACTTTGGACAACACAGTCATGTTACCAAAAGCCCAAAAACACCGAATGGGCCCGAAGTGCACTCAGATAAGCGGTTAATGTTTTTATCTGTGGTCTAAATTTAGAATAAGATGGCATTTGTTGCCCCTCAGCTTTCACTCTATGCGAAGCTCTATAATGTCATAGGCTATGCGTTTTAACCACTTAGAGATTCTTAAAGGACTTATTGAAGAACTGTGATACCATTAGGTGATTTCAAAGCGGTACCCATGTGTACCACATGATTTATTTGCATCATCTTTAATCACAGACAAATTTACTGTGGACAGATTTACACCCCGATATCATCACTGTTTACTATCCGTGCTTTACCACATAATTAGACATTGTCAAGAAAATTTGAACATACTGGTCGATTCTAAAAGCTGACGAGTGATTACATGTTGGGACATCGAATAGATGAGAATGGCCGCCTCCGAAAGCCTCAGTATGATCGGGGGTGGGATCATGAGTTACAACTGGTCACCCTACCCTTGCACCTAGCCAGATGTTCCCATACGAACAAGAGTGTCAAATAGCTTCGCTGTGGGAACCCTACTCACTGCCTTCTGGTGACGAAGGTGTTTTTCCATCACATTGAGGGGACGAAAAGCCAACATCCGCGGCTATAACCAGGTGGGTGGCAGTTCACCTGAGGTAGTTGGCCAAAGAGCCAAACTAACCAAGATGAGGAGTGCGAACTACGCACATCCCTTACTCGTTGTGGTAGTGGTCACCGGCTCGATTTGGGCATCGAGGTGCGTTCGGCACCTGGGACGTTTGACCCCATCCAGTGAGCGTATGATCCAATGAACTGGACACCGGCCCCAATAGATTGCAGTTTCCACACACCACACCACTGCCCTACGGGTCAGATTTAGGCTAGCTGAAGGCTCCCGTTCTCAATGTATATCAGATAGTGGTCGAATGGTGTGCACAACATACTGCCAACTAATCCTTTTAGCGTGGGTTCCGGGTAAGTGTAAGCGAGAGGGCGAATAGAGTGGTAATCACGAAAGTCGTTATGAATACACATATACCTGTGAGTTCGAATAAGATAAACGAACAGTATTCGTGCATATGGGATTACGATCTGAACATCACTACCTGACAGGAGCAGAATTGCCGTTCAACACACACACACACACACACACATTCAAACGAATCTCTGTCCTTTGTCTGTGAACAGGAAATATACACTTGGTCACGAACTGGTGTTTCTCACTCAAAATTATGATTGTTTAGCAAGCCACAGTGAAGTGAACTTTGGTGATCGCTGAAAACAACCATGTACATGCATATGTAAGGTGAACGAAGA